GGAATCCAGAGGAAGGAAACTTAAAAAATTTACTGTATTATTCAGTGCTAAGGAGAAATGAGCTATCGAGACAAGAAAATACATGGAGGATACTTAAGTGCATATTACTAAGAGAAAGAAACCAAACTAGAAAGGCCATATACTGTATGAGTCCAATTATGTGATAATCTGGAAAAGTCAAAACTATGATGATAACAGGACTAGTGGTTGCCAGGGGCTAGGAGGGAAGGCAGGAGGACACAGGATTTTAGGGCAGTGCGGCTGTTCTGCACGATGCCACGAGCGTGGATACATGTTTGTCAAAACAAAGAGAATGTGCAACACCAAGAGGGAACCCCAACATGAACTATGGGCTTGGGTGATGGTGTGTCAGTGTAGGTTCATTATCTGTAACAAATGTCCCTCTCTGTGTGGGAGGTTGATGGTGGGAGGTTGTGTTTGGGGACAGGGACTATTAGGAGAACTCTACTTTTCATCCAGTTTTGCTATGAAGCTAAAACTGCTCTAAAAAAATCTGTTAAAAAAAGTGTCCTGGCAGTAGAATGCATGTGTAAATGTTAGTGTGGAAGAATTTTCTCTGGAATCTCATCTTCTAAAGGTGGAGCAGATGTGAATATATGAAATGAGGGCCTGAAAGAGCTGTTTTATTTGCTTTTTTCCCCCGCCAAACAATTGTTTAACCCTTCACAGTGTTGAGAGTTTGCCTGGGAGGAAGAAAGGAAGTTAAACACAGGCTGGGTGAGCCCCTCTGTACCCCCAGTCAGCCATGCCCTGGGGGCTGCTGAGATGAATCAGAAGCTTTGTCCTTGCTAGTGGGGTCTCCCCAGGAGGTGAACAAACCCGTCCCCTAAGCCTCGCTTCCCCCAAGGCCAGTGTTGACAGCTCAGCAGTGCTCCCTCTTCTCTGGCCTCACTTTCTGTCAAGTCCTAAAGCCGTATATCCCTGATCCTAACCCCAAGACCTGAGAGCCCCACAAGGGGGTCCTCTTCAATCTCTATGCTCTAAAAAGCTATTACTCAAGCTAAGACATGGGATGAGCAACAGGTTCAAAATGTATCACCTGTACATCAGTGGTATCAACCCCTCTAATATCACAGCTGACTCTTGGTACATGGGATTTGATACGTTCAAATGTGAATTTCTACATAGCATTGACAACTTTAAAAGTTATATTTTTTCCTTATAATGAAAATAACACGTTTATTGTGGAAATACTGCAGAGAGAGGCAAACCGTCTGCGGTTCCACTGCTTCGGAGATAACACTGCTAAGGTTTGGTGCATAGCCTTCTCCTGTTCACCTGCACACACATATAGGTACATATCTGTATGTGTTTTTCTACAAAAATTTACTGATTATTCTTTTTTGGTAAGCTGATTTTTTTTACATTTATTAAAATTGGACCAACATCATTCCAGGTGTTACCAAAGATTCTTAATACTTTGTCTACCCAAGGTTTTGTGTGGATTTTCCGCAATTTCCTGTTCTTTACCTATTAGCATTCTTTTTTTTTTTTTTTTTTTTTTTTGCAACTTTCCCTCTTCTTTTAGCTGCTTCACTGAACGTCCTTTTAACTAAAGGTTAAGAAATGGGATAGTTGGGTCCAAAACTGGGCACTGTTTTAAAACTATTGATCATTGTTGCCAACTTACTCTACTAAACTGTACACATTGGCACTGGTACTTTGCTGGTACTAGGTGTTCCCCTGCTCCTAATGAACACTTGTTAATTTGAAAGTCCCCAAATAGGATTCCGTTTTATGGACTTCTCTTTGAGTAAAGTGAGATTAAACATTTGTTTAAATGTTTTTGACTATTAATATTTTTCTCTTGAAAATTGTTCATTTGCGCCCATCCATGCAGTTTTCTATGGGAATTCCTCTTTTTCTGATTGACTTATAAAAACATTTTTTTAATAGAACTTCTGTTAGTTCTGTCATTACTGTGAGCATTTCTCCCCTCCATTTTCACTCTGTTTATATTGGGGTTTTAGGAGACCATTTGATACCTCTGTATTTTCTACATTTCCTGTTTATCTGTCACTAATATGACATTATGGTTTACTTGCTTTAAAGTTATTAAAAGGAGAGTTGTATCCGCAAAACCCTCTCCAAAGTGCCCTGTAAGAGTTCAGTGGAAACATCTGATTGCACCGTCATCGGTGTCTCTGTCCCCTCCTCAAAGAGCTGTAAAGAGCACAGTTAATTTTTGTTGATCATCAGCCCCTTATGAATCCTGGCAGTGTTTAACTTGTAGGCAAGGATATCTAAGATATTTAATTTATAGGTTAGGATATCCAAGCCAGTTTACCATTTACTATGCAGTTGGCTGCAAAATAGTTGAGGTGGGTTTTTGTGGGGTTTTTTTTTTTTTTTTGGATCCTGCTAAGAGAACTTTATGTCTCTCTGCCCTAAATTATGACATCTTATCTCACAGACTTAACAGCATCTAATGGGTCTATCTCCAGGTAGTGTAGTCCAGCTGGAGGTTCAAGGAATGCAAAGCCCGTGTTTTAAAACAAAAAGGTATTTCTCTCTAGCCAGTAAATAAAAGTGATTTTTTTCCAGCTATATAAGGACAAAAGTTTTTAAAATTATCCCACTGGGCAGGGCTTCCTACACTTGTTCTTTTGGCATTTGGCCACGGAACTAACCCAGCACCTTCCAGATTTCTTCCATTTTTGTAGCAGTGTGCAGAGTTCCCTGGATGGGACCTGAGTCACTCCTTGCTGTGATGATTAAAGGCCCAGGGTCTTCTCAAGCTAGAGGCGGCCGCAGCCAGACATCCAAATGTGTCCTCAGCAGACCACTGATCAGTGTATAGAAGCAGCAAAGACTTTATCAATCCTCCTTTTAAGTATCTTTACTGCCCTCTCAAGGTTGTATGTTTCCCTTTTTGAGGAAAAAGCGTTTAACATTTAACACTGCAAATGAAATAAGAAGTATAAATGGTTCATAGCTTTGGTGACAAGTTCCCAAGACGTCTGCCTTAACTAAGGTATTGTTTCAGCCCTTTTTCAAAGTTTAAGCAGCTCTGTGTCATTTGGTCTCCCTTTCTGAGTTTCTCTGTATGTTTCATAGCCCTGAAACCTGAGTACTGTTGTCCATTCTCATTGCTCTATTGCAAGAAGAATTATCCACCCCCTGGTTTGAGTCCCCTTTCTTAAGACATTGCTATTGCTAGAGTCAGGATAAAATTATGTGAATAACTGAGGACAGTTTGCCTCAGTGTGTATCGAGGAATCAGCACCATGTTGGTAGTTTGTGTGAATTACCAATAAGATCAACAGCAACAACCTCTACTTGTGACATCCCAGTCATTGTTCTAAATATCTAGGCATATTTAGTCACTTCATCCTGACAGCAACCCACAGGGTAGGGGCCATTATTTACCTATGTTACAAATGAGGACACCAAGTGACACAAAGGTAAGTGGCTGAGTCAGAATTTGAGTATGAACAATGTGACTGGAGAGCCTGCCCTCTGAGCTTAATTAAAGTCATACGACAACCCTGCAAGATGCCCGATGGTGTCCCCATTTTACAGATGAGAAGCTGAGGCTCAGAAAGGTTGAAACCTTTGCAATAACTTCTCACATGCCTGGGAAGTAGCAGAGTTTGGTTTTAAACCTCAATTCCAAAGCCTCCTCCATGCTTTTTCCATTACACCACCCTTCTTACACTGCAACATTTTTTTTTCGTTTTCAGGGCTTTGTTTGCTTTAGGGAGAGCTTACAATTGGCCAATAGACAGATGCTTACACAGGCCTCCAGCATGTTCTTCTGGGTTCTTTCTGCACAGGAAGCTGCATGTTTCACCTGCACATTTCATTTGTGTGAATACCACAATATTCACTGCCTCTCTTCCTATATAAATAGCTATACGAGTAAGCTTCCCAGGTCCTTCCTGCCTTGGGGGCTTGGTGCTTGCTTGGGATGCTTTGTCACCAGATCTCAGCACGGCTGACTCCTGCTTCTCAGGTGTCAGCTCAAAAGTCATCATCTCAGTAGGGCTGACCTGGGCTACCTTATTAGTTTCCTAAGATTGCCATAACGAATTACCATAAACTGGATGGCTTAAAACAACAGAAAGCTATTTTCTTATAGTTCTGGAGGCCAGACAAGTCTAGGATCAAGGTGTTGGCAGAGCCACGCTTCCTCTGAAGGCTTTAGGGGAGAATTTTTCCCCACTTCTTTCCATTTCTGGTGGCTCCATGCATTCCTTGGCTTGTGGCAACATAAATCCAATCTCTGCTTCTGTCTTTACATCACCTGCTCCTTTGTGTTTCGCCCCTCTCTGTCTTTTCTTCTTCTAAGAACATCTGTCATTAGAATGTAGGGCCCACCTGGATAATCCAGGCTGATCTCATCTCACCATCCTTAACTTAATAATATCTGTAGAGCTGTTTCCCCAAATAAGATCGCATTCACACATTCTGAGTGGACATATCTTTGAGGGGGGTGCCATTCAGTCCCACTCTAAGTGAGCTACACTGCTCTAGGAAAGCAATCTTTGCTAATGTCATGCTCTGTGACATCATCACCCAGTTCATTTTTTTCATAGCTCTTGTCCTTATTTGATGTGTCTTGTTTTTCTGTTGCCTGCCCCCACCTACTTGAATTCAAGCTTTATAAGTGAAGAGCTATCTTGTTCACTGCTGTATTCCTAGTACCTAGACCAATGCTTGATGTATTGTAAGAATCACCCACTATTTACTGAATGAATGATGTCATTAATCAAATGTGATGTCAACTCGGCTCTTTGAGCCTTTCAACAATTTCTAGGGTTTTATTCTATTTTTCAGTATTATTTTATGTTATTTGATTTTTAGTTGCATATTTTTGGAAATGTAAGTATATCGTGGAACATATATTTAACAGATTAGATAAATATGTCCAACCATTTCAATATAAAACTCAAGTGCTAACTGGTCTTCATGGTTTATTTAGCTTTTACTTTTCCCCCATGAACAAACCCTCAGCAGAATATTCCTTTCTGCCCTAGGCTCTGATCACCTCCGGGAGAAAGACGGTCTCTGGGCTGTCTTGGTCTGGCTCTCCATTATCGCTGCCCGGAAGCAGAGTGTGGAGGAAATTGTCCGAGATCACTGGGCCAAATTTGGCCGCCACTACTATTGCAGGTGAGAAGGGCAAGGGTCTCCGTGTGGACCCTAGGGAACTGCTCCTAGAGAAGGTTTTTAAAACCAGGAGCCTAGAACCTTAAGAAAGAGGCATCTTTTAGGAAAATCAGAAACACAGAGGCTGGAGCCAGATAATCCCCCGTAAGTGGCTGGGGGTGGTGTCAAGGACTACCAAACTAGGGGACACAAATATCCCCTCCCTTGGTGACGTCACTCTGTAATCTTCTCATCAGTGCCTGTGAGGTGGGCAGCCATTCTGAGAGGAAATCTGAGAGGTCCTTTGGTGGCCGTGGAAGTTCCACTGCTAGACTAGGGGCTTTTATTGTTGGTTTTTCACCCATAATTATCAAGGAAAGTAGGGAAGGGAAGAGACAGAAATTGCAACAGGTCAGGGTGCTTTTGTAATCCTCTCTCTATCTTTGTCCTACCTCCCCACTAGTGGTCCAAACAGTGACCCAGATGCCTGAGCTGGCATCCTTCTGAAGGGACCACATGGTCCAGGAGCCCCAGATTTTGCTAAAGTTTTGTCCCCATGAAAGGAGTTACAGAAAAGTGAAGTATTACCCTGGGAAGGAGGAAGGGGAAAGGTCAGTGGCTAAGAACTTAGGGTTTGGGGGTCTCTACCACTTTCCTGTTGTTGAAGAAAGCAGGAATCGGGGGCAAAGTCTTCTGGCTGTGTGGTTGCCTGCTAGATATGTGTACCTAGATATGCTTGGTATGTGTAAGTAGTACCAAGCCGTGGTTTAGGGTAGGAAAGGGTGTTAACTGTAGAGAATGTGGGGAGAGGGCAAGGGAATCCTGGGGAAGTCTCAGAGGCTCTCTGTGTGTTCCGAACAGAGACTGTGGCTCATTTGCTTTGCTTACGAACAGTTAACTTTTGGATGTTTGGTTGTGCTTCAAGAGCTTAAGGGACAGAAAGAAAGCCTTAGACTTCCCTTATAAGGTGATTGTTTCTTCTCTTAAGAGGTCATTTACGTAGACAAATATCAGAGAAGGAAGCCTGTGACAGTACTCATTAAAATCAAAGAGACAACAGTGGTCGGGGAAATGCAGACAGCACCATAATATTCTTGGTTCCTGTTTAGTTAAGAAGGCTGAGGATGTGATACTTTGCAAATTATTCATTGTATTATAAAATAAGGACTTTCAAGGCAGGTGGGAACTTGTTTTATTCACTGGTATTTCTAACAAGTGCCAAAAATCCTGTGGGCTTTTTTTTTTTTTTTTTGGCATACCAAAGGGACTAATTGGCACAGCGGATCCTTTTATTGCCTGAAGCTGTTCCAAAAAATTCAACCTGATAAAATATATTATGATTGCCAGCCTCTGGCTTAGTGAGATCACTTTGAGTCAGGGATGTGTTCCTCATAATTTGTGGAATGATTATCTAGCTTTCTGCCAGTGTTTTGAAGACGTGGTGTTATGATAAGTGTATTTATAATATTGTTCATTTTTTTTGTGGCCAAGAGCTTACATGATAATTACTCTTTTCATAACAAATACCATATTAGAGAAAATAATGCAATGGAGATTTAAATCCTTATGGGACACTGAATTATGTTTTAGTTTTCTGTCCAAGGAGATAACAGAGATTAAAAAAAAAATGGAAGGAGAGAATAGGTAGAATGAAAGCAAACATTTCCTTCAGCCTCTGGGAAATGTAGGTTGAAAGTGCTTGTGAAATAAAATGATTCCTAGCCTGACTGTTTTGTTGGTGGGGAGGAGACAATTAAACAATTTTGGTTCAACTGATACTGAGCCTGAAGCTGTTATCTGAGAAGCCAGACGATTTTCCTTGTAGGAGTGGACCCCAGAAGGAATTCTCCATTTTAAAAGGTCTTCCCTTGAAAATGTGTTGGTAGTGGTGATGGTCAGGGGGCGTTGTTTGTGGAACACAAGAGGGGAGGGACCTGCCTGTGTATGAAGAAAATATAAAGGATGATGAGAGCTTGGGCAGCAGTTCTGATGACCTCAGCCATAGACTGAATGTCATCTATCACGTCATTGTGTTTTCTCAACTTCTAAATCTCTTTCAGTGCCTCTCTGTCTCCTACTAGACCGTCTTATCCCATCCTCCTGGCCTTTCTGTTTGGTTAGGTCTTGACCTTCCCAAAACACTGTCTTTGAGGAGAATCTAGGCTTAGAACACATACATTAATGAGAAAGAATGTTCAGAGAGAGTTCCCTGTACTTTTTCTAAGGTGGGGAGGACACACCTTGGGTCGGAGGGAGAGAATAAAAGAAAGGGATGTAGGTGCAGGGGACCCTTTGTTGGGCAGGGTATCACCCCATGTTCTCCATTTTGACAAATACCCTGACATTTACTGGAAATCTCCAAAGATCTTGGGTGAAAAAAGGAGTATCAACTATTCAGAGCTTCATTCAGTCACTCTGAGCACTCACCTCCTTTCCCTGTGTTGCAGAGAGCCTGGGTGCGAGATCCCAGCACAGCCACGTGAGCACAGCTGCCCCTCCTGGGGCTTCCTTCTAAACAGACCCCCTGGGTGTGTCATTAGGACTTGACATTGGGAAAGACCCTACAGTTTCTTCATGGTAGTGCATAAATGTAAAAGTAATTAATAGTTTTCAGCACTGGTGTCTGGCACTGTGCCAACTACTTGCTATGCATTATCATATTTAAACCCACAACAAATGAGGTAGGTGTTATTTTTAGTCTTTTTTTTCCCCCTAATCACCTCCCAGCCTCATTGTTATATTTGATGTTCTTGGCTAGAAGGACCTTTTTTTAATGAAACAACTGTGATATTTCTTCCAAGTTTCCAAGAGAGTTTTATGGAACATTGAGTTCCCTCCCTCCGTCTCTCTTCTCCTGCCTTGATTCCTCTCTTTCCTTCTTTCCTTCCTTCCCTTCCTCCCACCTTTCATTCTGCTACTTACAAAACACTGTTTATCAGAAGCAACAGAGAGGGTAGGGTATAGCTCAGTGGTAGAGTGCGTGCTTAGCATGCAGGAGGTCCTCGGTTCAATCCCCAGTGCCTCCATTAAAATAAGTAAATAAACCGAATTACCTGCCTCCCGCCAATAAACCCAATAGAAAAACCCCAGAAGCAACAGAGAAGAAAACAGGTAAGATCTCTGCCTTCCTGAGCTTACAGTTCTCATGGGCAAAGACAAGAAATAAGCAAACAAATATATATACAAATTAAATATACATTGAAATAGCTACTGAAAGAAAATATAAAGGATGATGAGAGCTGGGGAGAGATGGAGGGAAGCTACCTTAGGTGGTTGGTCCGAGAAGGTCACTTTCTGGAGGTGACACTGAATTTGAAAACTGAAGGAAGAGAATGTGTCAGCTATTTGAGTAGCCTAAGGAAGAATGTACCAGGTAGAGGGGCATCAGACAGCAAGAGCAAAGGCTCCGAAGAAGGAAGGGCGAAGTGTCCTGAGGACTTGAGAGGAGTGGCTGGAATGAGACAAATCCAAGGCAAGGAGGTGGGCAGGTCTGATCCCACGATGCCTTACAGACTGCGGTTAGGGTTTTGATGTTGTTCTCAAAGTGGCGGACATTTTGGAGGGTTTTAAAGGAAAGGACTGACATGATTTGAAGTTTTCAAGATCATGCTGGCTGCTGTGTGAGGACTGGATTGTGCGGGCGGGGGCAAGGGAGGAGGGGAGACCAGCTATGGGTGCTTTTATGTGCAGTTCCTCCATGGAAACAAAACCAATGTGTAGATGGCCTTGGGAGGCTCACCCAGCTGCTGGTTCTCTGACTGGACTTGTGTTTATCCTGTGCCCTGCCCTCCCTCACCAGGTTTGACTATGAGGGGTTAGAGCCCAAGACGACGTACTACATCATGAGGGACCTGGAGGCCTTGGTCACAGACAAGTCCTTCATCGGCCAGCAGTTTGCAGTGGGGAGCCATGTCTACAGTGTGGCAAAGACAGACAGCTTTGAATACGTGGACCCCGTGGACGGCACCGTGACCAAGAAACAGGTACTTGCTAGGAAATCGCCAGGACAGGTTATCAAGCAGTCGAGAGCCAAGGTGTCCTCCAGCCAGAGAGGTCTTCAGGGGTGATCTACTCTGAGCCCTTCATTTTACAGATGACAGCTGTGTAGCCAGGAGAGGGGAAAGCCCTTGGCAAAGGTTGCTTACCTACTTAATGGCAGAGGGTGGATTAGAACACAGGGCCCTGGCTCTCTGTCCTATGTTCTTTCCACTTGGTAACTGATGGCCAGTGCCACAAATAGATTTAGACCCAACACTTTTTCTGAAATGTTTGCAGCCTACATTCCCTCCATACAGCAGTCATTACATGTGACAGATTCAGAAAAGTTTCCAAGAGCAAAAGATCCCTTTCCTTGGGACCCCCAGATGCAGGGATGTTTCACCTCTTATTACCTTATGTCACTGAGGAATGATAAGAGCTTAGTCAGATAGGTTTGCTACTCCTGTAGCGGAAGAAACAATTGAAAAATTTTCCCCATAAACCCAAAAGGAAGATTTATGGTTGAGAATTGTTATGGAAGGTAAGTGGCACAATCAGCCACAACTTCTATTATGCTCTCATCTCTGTGAATTGTGTAAGGGACAGTGAAACCTATTACAATTATTTTTCTTCTCAATTTTATTTACTGGCTATAGCAATACTGGCCACTCTGGAAGCACATTTTAACATTTATAGTCTAAATAAGACACCCTGAGTAATGTTAAGCGAAGTTCCATTCTGAAATCCCCAAATTCTTATCTTCTTATACATGCTTGTCTAGTCATTGGTAGGTTCTGGGCTTTATCTGCTCATGCACAGCTTGTCTGTTGAGCTCATTTGTTTTGCTGTTAAATCTGCTAATACTCCGCCTTGTTTCTTCTCCAATGCACTCAGTATTTGGATGCTTTTTTCCTTGGCTTTTCTTTAACTGTTCACATCAGACTCATTGCTCAAATGGATCTTAAGTTTGGACTTTGATTTATTTCACGTCCCCTCAACTTAATCCCCGAGTATTGGTTTCCATTTTTACGTGGCATTTATTGACTTTCCCCCCAATACTCTTTCATCTGACCTGAAAGGTGGCCATAAATAGATGTGTTACCAGAACCTGCTCTTGGGAAATTCTCTAGTAATAAAGGAAGGATAGTTGTTCATCTGCCCAGATTCCAGGACCCAAGTGATACCTTCATTAGCTGGTGGCCCTGGATCACACTAGAGCTTCTTGCAGGTCTGGGTTTGGCTCAGTAAAGACCAGTTAACACTCAGCAGCATCCCTGTTGTCAGCAAGTCACAGATGGTTCTTTGACCACAGCTGGTCCTGTTGGCATAGAAGGGGAATTCTTCCACAGGTGGGGCCATTGCTAAACTTCCACTACTCACTCATGAGATGTCTGTATTATCAGCATTTAATTCCGGGGATAGTTGAGTCTGGGGCATATTTTATGGAACATTGTTGCAAAATAAATAACTATTCCTAAAAGACATATTTGAATTTAAATAAAATAGTATTATTTTAAATAGTCATGAAGTGCTTTGGTGCTTTCATTCAGTAGGTATTTCATGAGAGCCTACCAAATGCATAGTATTGGTTTTTTCATGGTTCATTTTTTTAGTGTAAACATATAACAGCTTTATTGAGATATAATTCACATTCCATACAATTCACCTGTTTAAAGTGTACAATTCCATGGTTTATAATATATAGAGAGATATGTGCAATGATTACAATCCATTTTAGCACATTTTTTATCACCCCCCCCAAAATAAACTATGTACTCTTTAGCTATCATCTCCCTTCCTACCCCCAGCAACCATTGATCTATTTTCTGTCTCTATAGATTTTCCTATTCTGGACATTTCACAAAAGTGTATGTGGTCCTTTGTGACTGGATACTTTAAGCAAAATGTCTTCAGGGTATATCCACGTTGTACTATCTATCAGTACTTTGTTCTTTTTTATTGTCAAATAATATTCCACTGTGTAGATAAACTACATTTTGTTTTATCCACTTATCAATTGATGGACATTTGGGGGTATTCTACGTTTTTGGTTATTATGAATAAAGCTGCTGTGAACATTCACGTAAGTTTTTGTGCAGGCATAGGTTTTCAGTTCTCTTGGGTATATTACTAGGCATGGAATTACTGGGTCAAATGATTAGTCTGTGTTTAACCTTTGAAGAAACTGCCATATAGTCTCCAAAAGCAGTTGTACCATTTTACATTCCTCCTAGTGGTGTATGAGGGCTCCAATTTCTGCACGCTTTCATCAGCCCGTGTTATATGTCATTTTGATTATAGAGTGCTATAATTTGAAAATAACCTACTATATTATGGATTAGTTTAAAATTAAGATACTAGGAGACTTAACCTCCATAGGGGGAAGCAGAAGTATGCTTTGCCTAGCAAAGCCCAAAAGAAACATAATGCAGCATCTCCGTTTGTTGTGGGAGGTAGATTACTATGGTTCCCCAGTGTTCTCTCATGTCAGAGTCAGACATAAGTTTGAAGGCTGGCCTTGTCACTGCCGAGATTTGTGACTTTGGGCATGTTACTTAACTTCTTTGAACTTCAACATGATGAAGGGTGGTGGGATGGCATGCTGGCAGTAATCACCATATTGGGTTATGGAGAAGGTGTGAGGAGAAAGAGTTATAAAGCCCTTAGGCACAGTAGCTAGTACCCATTTAATGCCCAAGAATTATCGGTACCTTCCCCCTTATCAGAGTCCTTAACTTGTCTGAATATCAGTTTGAGGAAAGGGCGTGAGTGGCACTTAAGTGTGCAATCTTAAAGTCAGAAAGTCTTGGATTTGAGTCTTGGCTCTGCCACCTCCTGGCTGGGTGATCTTAGGCAAGTTACTCAACCTCCATGTGCCTTTTTCTCCTGTCTGTGGAAATAGGAATAGCAATTGTGGCTGCCTCATACAGCCATTGGGACAATTCAGTCAGGTAGTACATATGAAGTCCTAACACATAATAAACACTAATAAACGGTTAACTGAAATAAGTTATGTTAAAAGAGCATCTTTGGGAAAGAAAGATTTTAAGCATTTAATGAGCCATAAATGATAAGAAAATCCAGGGTATAAAAACCCACACAACAACATACAACTTTGTAGGGTGTCACATGAAGATGTAGGACTGACTCTTCATTTTCTGAGTTATCTGTGAATCAATTCAAACTCATATTTCTCTGCCTCCCCGCCCCCTACACACATATACACTTTGCTTCAGAAAGAAGAAGGTTTTTAAAGACAGCTCAGTCTCCTTTTTGTCCTTCATTTGAAGTCAGTCAGGAAACAGACCGTGGGAAAAAAGCTGTTTCACATATATCTCTAGAGATACAGAAGAAATGCTTCTCCATCCAAAATGAAATTAAAATCTTGTTCTGGTGATAAGCTCCCCACCCCACATCCACACCACTGCTGTGGAAATGCTCAGAAAAGTCTGTCCTGCCTGTGAGATCCTGTAGGGGTCATTCAAGGAGCAAGAAGGAAACCCCAGGAACCTCACTGCCTCACTGCAGCCTGTCGGGTCTATGGCTGCTTCCAAGTGTCCAATATTTTTGTAACCCTGAGTGCCAAGAGAAAAGTTGATGTGTGCCTTCCATTAAACAGGACCCAAGAGAGACTCTGATTTGGAAATAGCAATTTAAGAAGGCCCAGCTCAACAGCTGCAGCTCGTCTCTCCATGGTCCCATGAGCCTATGTCCCTGGTTATTTTCTGGTAAAATCTAGTCACATGGATGAATGGTGATGGTTTTGTCAAATGTGAGTGGGAAAAACAGCCAGTAGCGACTCTGAGAGTAGGGGAGCAGATTGATCAAATTGCTGACCAATTTAAGTGGTTCCCGGTTTATGCCTTGTAAAGAGATGGGAGAGATGAGGGAAGGTTAGGTGACTCCCTAAGGCCAGAGGTGTGGCCCAGCCTTTCCTCAAGGATGAATTCATTGTGCAGATATCAAGATTTTCCATGGTCCTTGGCACTCTCTCCCTTCCCCTCACCATCAATATCTCGGGGAACATTATCGATAACCAAGTTATCTCTTACCATTGCCCTCCCCATCTCCTCCTTGTAGCCATGATTATGAGACTCTCGTGGCTCTGGGAGAAGGAGTACTCCAATCCTGGTGTTTTGAATGAAAGACAGTTTGACAAATGGTACTAGTACTGAGTGATGGTATATTGCCACTAGGGTGGACATCAAGCCAGAACTATGACCTGTGTTTTGAAAATTAGCTTTGAAATGAGAAACCTTGACACTTCGGGGGCAAAATTTAACCGAGTCTCTATGACTTATCCAACTCCTTTATTTCTGTTTAACAAGATCAAAAATCATTAAATTCTATGAGTGTTGAAGTCATTTGCAAGTAAAAGTTCAGCTGATATTAAAAAAAAAGAACTGATGTAAATAAGTGCATACCAGTTAGCTGATGTGGAAAGTCAAATCCAGTTTGATTATGTCAGGCTGACTCTGAGCTTATTAATACCTCTTCAAGTTACGCAGCCTGTGTGGAAACATTTTGATGTTGTCCTCAACCTGGAAAAAAATAACCATTTGAAATTAGTTCGGAGAAAAAGCACACTTTGAGGACTGATTCTGAAGTCAGTTTGCTTTTAGTGTTGTTACTTTAATATGCAAGAAGGTGCCTGTATTTTTTCATTTCTGTATTTAGAAATAATAAAGAAAGTGAATTGGCAGTCTTGAAATCACAGTTTAGTCTGGCACATGGTGCTTTAATATACACTGTGGTGTTGCCAACTCCTGTTCAGCAGACATGGAGAAGTTTACTGAGGCCTCATCTCTGGTGACCTCGTATGAAGGCAACTGAACAGTGTCAGCTGGAAAACTTGGGGCGCTGTCTCTTCAGAGTTAACTGGTCAACCTTGAACTTCAGGCTTCAACTTTTGTTACATTCCAGTGAACCAACTGAAGAGACTGTAGTATTAACAATCCTTGTCCTTTAATGTGCCATTTACTGGAGTGTGATTTGTGCATCTAGA